TTGAGTTCCGGGTAGGTTGCCTGCCCATTCTGACGTGATTTTGGCCTCCCTCATTGGTTGCCCCTCGAGAAGGGGTTGACTCTTTCGGGTCTACCGCCTCCTCCGACTCAGCGTTTTCCTCCTGCCATAGTGTTTATGACCCACTTCATATAGCTCGTTCCTCAATGTCAGCGCTATTACACTGCCGGGTTAGCATTCTAATGACTCAGGCATTCCCTGTTACAATTCTTTGTAGATCTAAGCTTCCTGAATTGTTTCATCATGGCTGTTTCTTAATCTTACAGTCTAGCTACTATTATTCCAATTTTTCCCCAAAACTATATCTACATGTACGTAACCTTAGTGGCATTACATTTGTAAAGAACAACCCATGAACAAGAACTTCTTTTTGTAAGTTGTGATGTTACCAGAAGTTTCTTTCTATTGCCTTGTGAGTCTCATGTGTTTAGAATATGAAAGTCAGTGTTCTGCTTTTGATATTTTTGTTAAAATAATCCTGAGTTCTTTGGTTTAACTGACATGAATTTTGCACCAAGATAGGAAGAAAACTGCGATATTGGAAATGGTGATATTTTGTTAAAATGTGTGGCATTAATTTCTTTTTCTGCAAAAGTGTTTTCTTTGTATTTTGTTTTGATTCATCTTTGGCAGTAAAACAGTCTTTTTGGCATTTCTCACATATTCTCTCTGGAGAAGTAAAGAAGTATCCTTAGTTATTCTGTAAGTTGTCTAAAATAAGTTCTATTTTAAAAATGACATGGATATTTTTTTTTTTGGTCGGTACTGTTCCTGCACTAGCTCTAATGATGTTGGCAGATCTGTTTTATGGCAAATATATAGATTTAATATTGGCCGTAACTCTAGAACTCCAGGGTATAGGTAGGAAGTGGACTTCCTCATGTTGTAGTATTTCTGTAAAATTATGTGTGTGAAATTTTTAAAAGACTGCATATTTGCAGATGTTGTTTAAATAAGATAGCAGTATTTTGAACACTTGTTCATCTCTGTGATAATTTTATACAGGTTATTCCAAGTCACCTAGTTCAAAGTAAACAAAATATGTGATCTTTGCCACCAGTTGTGTTGAAACTAAATGAAAATATTGAATCAAGAAAAAAAATGTACTGAATATTTGATTCCTAATGCAATTCTTATCAAATTTTTAGAAACCGGATGTTATTAAAATTACTGTGATTGAAAGCTCATGAAATGGCCTTTCACACAACTTTAGACATGACCAAGTATGATTTAAGTACCAAAGTAATGACTTCATTGAAAGAAAGACAAGGAAGATCAGTATGTGTGAAGAAATTTTGTATACTCGTATGTATTGAATATATGTAGAAAATATTGTTCTCCTCAGACTCTGCAGTTCTTTTTTTCCAAATTAATTTAATGCACCCGTTATTTATATAACAAACTACATCTATGACATCATTTAATTTGTAGTTCATATTGACCAGGTTGGACCAAAAATAATATTTCTATGTGTATTAATAAGGTTTTTAAATTAAGGTTTCATCAAAATCCATATATCCAGAGCAATTATTACTGTATATGTAAACGTAGTGAAGCTAATATGCGCTCACATATTGCTGCAAAACGCACTTAAGGTATAGCATTTTTCCTACTATTAATGTCAGCTATTAACAATTCTGACCTGTGCTCTCTTTTCTGCATAGTACTCTTACATCTTGCTTAGAAGGAAGCCTTTAACTGTGTTTATAATTACATTTATTTTGCCAAAAACCATCCCACAATCATAAATACTTTATTTTTCACTCCTAGCATTTACGCGGTAGCATAGTTGGTTGAGGCACTATGTTACATGCCGTAAGGTCGGGGGTTCGATTCCCGATGAAGTCACTGGATTTTATAATTTTCGTAAACCTTCCAGCTGCACTATGGCCCTGGGGTCGACTCAGCCTCTAACAGAAATGAGCGAGTACCAGAAATCTTCCTGGGGGTAAAGGGCGGCCGGCGGCTAAGGCTGACAACCTCACCGCCATCTGTGAGACGAATGTCTAGAGAAAATGTGGGAGCCTCGACGTCTCATAACCCTATGGTCCTCCACGGCTTGTTACAGGGATAGCTTTGCCTTAACTTGTTTTCATATCTGCCTATAACCCGCTGTACCATCTATCAAATACCATTATTGTGTTGCAATGTGGCAGTCAGTAATACCTGTAGCCGCAGTTCACGACTCACCTTTAGAGGTGATGCTGGTCTCCTTTTGTCTCTTGAAACTCAGCCAGGCCATTCTTGTAGTGTTCTTCCTTCGTGATATTAGTTCAGTGACGAAGTGTTACGAATATTACCGAAAATATCACCTCTTATAGGATTTCAGTGCTTTTGGTACATTGTGCAGTTGCACACGGTACTCACGGCAGTAGCACATGGCGTGTTTGCCCGTGCTGTTGTGTTGTAGACCATGTTACACAGTTCCGGCGATGCAGTGTTTTGTAAGATTTTTGTAACACGTTCTGCAATGTAAGAACTGCCGCTTTGTCGGGTTAGGTATATATGCGTTTGGGCGCATTGGTACACAGTGATAGCCTTCATTCTTCTAATAAAGTCGCGATCCTGAATTGAATTTGGGTTTTCCAAGGACGGGCTTCTGCCAGAAACAAAATAACATCGGCGTTCATGACTCAAATGGAACTTCAAGTAAGCACTGCGGTAGATGAACAGGATGTTTCAGTACTGCCAATCGATAGTCCGCCATTAGACACTATTCTGACCATTTTTATATCTTCCATCCTCACGAATTATCTAAACTCCAACTTAACGGTATCCTCTACCACGTCCTCGATTTCGAAGTGGATGTTTTATAAAAGATGCCCTCACCAAAAGTCTGTGCAGTCCACATCTCTTACTGTATCCATATGCCCAGCCCACTCCTATCTGACTTAACGAAAATTAAAATCATCATCATATAAATGATGGGCCAGCGTAGAATAGTGGTGCCAAATATGTATGTCTTTAAGATCTGTTTAAGATCTTTTGTTTTGAAACATGTTTCAATTTGGTAGCCAGATACATGAATCCGGTCCATGCTGTCATATTGTAACGTGTATGCGTGACTATAGACGGGGTTGGTATTGGTAATTGGATTCATTGAACACTTACAAAATGTAACTACAGCAGCCTCAGTGAGTTACACACTCCAAAGTTCACTGTAACTACGGCACACAAAAAGTCTTCCCTAGCCGTTGCTTGGTAGTGGCTTCCAACGGCGGATGTTCCCCTTACTCTGGGTTCCCGAACTGTGCCCGGCCTGAGCTCTAGCAACTTTCGATTGATTGACTGACTAACTCAGTCGTTCACCAACTCACTCCACTCCACTCCACTCCACTCGCCAACTCGAATTATCCTGCTTATAACATATTGGCAAGGACCGCGCAGAAAATACTTCTCCCAACAGTTGTTCTGTTGCATTACATAGCTATCGCACGGGTCGCTTAGAGAACACCGCTTCCCAGTTACTTCATTATTGCGTGTTACGTATCTGTTGTATAGCAACGGAAGTGTTTGCAGAGCCAGTTCCTAGCAATGGCCGTCTCTGTTGACTTCACGGTGTTTGTCCTGAGTAAATATACCACACTATTCTATTTATTTAAAATTCATTTTAAGATCCTCCCATTTGCATCTAATACTGAAGGCGCGTCCACATTACTCGTGCTCGTGCTCGCCAGGCTTATGCTCGTCGGGAAACTCGTCTGGCTTTTACTTGTGCTCGTAAATCTTCGTCCACACTACTTCAGTTGCTCGCCAGGCTTCGACACGCGAGGATCCGTATATTTACTCGTAGTGTGTATAGGCTGTAGTCGTATTTTAACTTATTGGCTATAGTTTTTAAATTACAGTTTTTAAATTTTCTTGTCTCGTGACTTATCATATCGTCCACATTACTCGTGAGCATAGCGAGTCACACGAGCAGGAGTAATGTGGACGCGCCTTAAGAGACCCCCACATTTCACTATCACTATTCTCCTTGAGGCCCAAGTGTTTTCTTACCCTATTTTCGAATACTTAAAATTCATGTTTCTTCCTTGGAGTCACAGGCCATAAATAAAATTGTGTACGGCACATCTTATCGTTAAGAACGGAAGTCAGTTTCCTAAATGAATAACAGCCAGGCACATCTTATCGTTAAGAACGGAAGTCAGTTTCCTAAATGAATAACAGCCAGGCACATCTTATCGTTAAGAACGGAAGTCAGTTTCCTAAATGAATAACAGCCAGGCACATCTTATCGTTAAGAACGGAAGTCAGTTTCCTAAATGAATAACAGCCAGGCACATCTTATCGTTAAGAACGGAAGTCAGTTTCCTAAATGAATAACAGCCAGGCACATCTTATCGTTAAGAACGGAAGTCAGTTTCCTAAATGAATAACAGCCAGTCGTGGAACGTCATTTTGCGGCGGGATAGCAGTCCTGATTCATACATTGGAGAGTGCTCGAGAGGCCTCTGATTCGAATTTTAGTTACGAGAAATGGCCTCCGTAATTAGGTTGTGTGGGGGGAGGGGGGTTGCTTTAGTCCGTCCAGGAAAAATTCTTTGACAGTATGTTACCATTTACAAACCTATGCCGTAGACAGGCCGTCGTTGAACAGATCCAAGATATCAACAATGCCAAGCATTTCACAGACTATTTCCTCGCTCAAGTTTCGTGTTATTTTCACGAATGGCCCAATATAAAACTGTTGTACGTATTTCTGTGTATAACTTGCCTGATGATTGTCTTCTGCGACCGAAACATTGACTCGGGACAGAGACGCTGTTATGAACATTTACATAAAATATACGAATTAAGCCATTGTTATGGTTATACCTAAATTAAAGCCCATGTTTATCTCAGGGCTTTGCAAATAATATTTCCGAGAAAGGTTATAGAATATAAAGAGAAAGTAAGAGGGAAGGCGCCACTGTGCGTATGGAGTTGTGTTTATTTCCATCCATAGTGAGAATATGCTGCCAGGGGCCAAAGTGTACATTAGTAAACTGATCCATGGATTACCTCGTCACAGGGCAACAGAACGTTTATTTCCCCAGCTGGAAGTTGTATAACATTTCATGGACCGCATCATGTAACATGTGCTGATATGCCGTGTGCACTCTGTGAAGACGGCACACGCATATTTGCGCACCACTACTGGAAAACTGGTTGTCCCGCCTCTTCCTGCTCACGGTTATATTTTTACTTTCATGTCATATGCGGATCTGTGGTTATGTTGGTACAACTGGCCTTCCACCTTGAAGCCATGTTTTTTTTTTTAATGTAGAACTGGGCTGAAGATTAACAAGCATTCCTAGAATAGGTTGCATCATAATCGAATTATTTCTATTGCCGAAATGTCAAGAAGATAGGATTGGGATAACGGTTAAAGTTTTGATTTCTCTTATTAAATTGCACTGTGCTTTCCTTTCCTGAATCTCTTATACGCTTTTGGGTATTTCTGTAGAAGCGTTAACGTCTTCCATCTGGTTTCTTTCCTTCAAAATTTCCTACTAAAATGTTGATATATTTCTGCCCCCTCCCCCGTACGTGCTGATGCCCTATCCATCTCATTCTCCTTGATTTGATAAAGAGTACAGCTTATCAAGTTCCTCGTTATGCAGTCCTCTCGCCTCCTCTCAGTTTTATCTTAGGTCCAAATATTCTTGTCAACGTCTTGTTCTCAAAGGCTCTCAGTTTATGTTACTTCCTTGGGGCAATAAACCAGGTTCCTCAGCCATATAGAACAACAAGTAAAACATAAATAAAATTTGTATTTGTCACATGGTAAAAAGTAAATGTATCCCTGCAACAGGCCGTGGAGGCCCATGGGGTTGTGAGATGTTGAGGTTCTCATATTTTCTAGACAATCGGCTCACAGATGGCGGTAAGGTTGTCAGCCTTACGCGCCGGCCGCCCTTTACCCCCAAGAATATTCCTGGTACTCATTTCTGTTAGAGGCTGAGTCGACCCCAGGGCCATAGTGAGGCTGGAAGGATTAGGTAAATTGAAAAAAAAAATCAATGACATCGGGATTCGATCCCGCGACCTTTCGGCTTGTAGCATAGTGCCTCAACCAACTACGCTACCGCGTGCCCCCTCTCACATGGTATATTAATACAAGTATTGTGTTTCTAGACATTTTCCAGAGACCGTTTCAGAGATTGGATTCTGTCCCTAGGAGCTAGCCCTTTCGATTGGGCCCAACTGAGTAGGTTGCATCAGAAGACGGAGACAATCAAGTTTCCGAAACATTATGGGTTTTAAAATAAAGGCAAGGCGATGGATTATGTCCAGAAACAATAACTGAAGTAAAATATAGTTTTGTGCCCTGAAACACTGCTGTTATCAGGCTCCACTGCCTACATTGAAACTCGGCTGACTTCATGCCTTTTTATTAATTTTTCCGTAGCGCAGAATTCCTGCAAGGCCCTTATGTTATACATATCGACATGCTAATTCAGTTCACTCTTGTCAGCTTTTCTGGGGATGTAGGGTAAGGATCTGTTCGCGTCACTTGTCCGTTATCAAAGGGAAGTAAAAAGCAAAGACGAGGAAACTGCGGGAAAAACCAAATCAGTGTCGTCCCTGACGGGGAAAACACGAGTAGACGTCAGTCTAGACCGATAAAACTTATCGCCGGACCGAAACTATCACAAAGTTATTTGATTTCGCTTCAAAACATACGTACGTTAAAAACGACGGGACACTGAATAATGTGGCTGGAAAGAAAAAAGTACGAGAAACTAACAAGATATTAAAACTTTTTACATGTTCAGTCATCAACGCAACAGATGTTTTTATTGATTGATTCAAAATCAACACTGCATGTTTCGACCCTTATAGGGTCATTTTGCAGTGTTCTTGAGGTACACGTTTAATCGTTATCTTGTAACGCACTGTCTTATATCAGCATTTACTAACACTGCACTTAAGTTGTGTTAAACATATTCCCAGTTTACATATGTAATAGATATATAATGACGTACATCTATATCCTATGTGTACTTATTATTATTTAATTACATTCCAATTTAATTGCACTGAGATTAAGATACAAGTTTCCATTGAAAATTAAAAATTACTANCTCTTTATATACACACAATTCATATTTACAATAAATTTCTGGTGAATGTGAATTACTCTTCATGTACAGACAATTCATGTTTACAATAACGAAACAACTGCCCTACATTTGTTATTAATTCATTTGCCTGCTGAGACAATTTCTGAAGGTTATTGCCTTTTCTCAATATATACGATATTCCTTCCGCCCTCTCTCTTTCGTTGCTTCTGCTGACATCGTCTTCCGTTACGAAGATGATGTATTTCTGAATATTACACAGTGGATTTGATTTAATCACTGTATAGTGAATACTGTGGGTCTGAAAGTCACAGTTTTAACACTTGTGTCATATACTGACATTGTTAGGAGGGGAGCGGCGACTTCTCACATCTTAAGTGTCGTTTAAGTTGTCTGTGAAGGACTCCTACCCACTGCCTATCACAGATGAATATTATAAAGTTTCATGTTACACTATTTCCACTTCACCAGGTACAAGAAATTAATGTGATCCCGCCATGTATTTAAAATAACAGTTCTTAGGCAAAGAATGCAAAATGCAAACATAATTGTATATGTAAAAAAAAAGTGTATTGTTAAATATTCGTTATTTCCGTCGCCGGCACTGCATGGTCCTACAGTCTCATTTAGCGATTTGCTCCTGCTGCGGTTTGACTGACGCCTCGCTCTTCTGGTCACTGGCAGAGGACGTAGCTTCCTCATTCTCGCAGTCTTCTTCCAAAATACTTTGATCTTCCTTTCTGTCCTGGCGAGACTTGCTTCTGATGTATGTCGCTAGAGGGCGCCTTTGACGTTCCTGACAGATAGGACATGAAGCCTTCGGGTCCTTGCAGAAATCGCGGGCAGTCATCTTTGTCCTGTTGTGGCCGGTTCGGGCTGTGCTACCTGTAAAGAATTTTCAGTCAGTGGCTGCCACCTGGTATCTTTCAGCGTATTTTAGAATGTTCGGCAGAAAATTATAATCCTCTAGATTATATTGGTTTGAAACTTGTACGAAAGAACAAAATTTATAATTCTGTTACTTGCAACAGTTACGCTATGGACGAGCATAAACTACGAGACTGAAATTTCAGTGGCTGGTTGGATTGATGAGCGCAGCCTAATTTGAAGCATCATCTCGGAATTTTTCCGCAGGGATTGAGGGCAACTGAGAATATATAACCGGTCTCTGGGCAGATATTTGATCCTGGGGCCTCCCAAATTCAAAGCAGAAGTTAAACCACTCTACCGCGGCACTGGATGGTGGTTCCGTATGTTTCTCGAAAGGCAAAATTTGTTTAAAAAAAACACATTGTTATGGTCACAAACTGTTTAAAAATGAAGTGAAATTGTGAATCACTGAACAAGAAGAACAAACGAAGTAAGCAGATACGCATGCCGTTCAAAAAGAAGGTTGTTTTATCACGGAATAATGAAGCATACAAGAAAATTATCTATAGACTTAATATACTAGTTTAATTCAACATTCCTCGATGGTTTTCTATATTGATCTCACAAAAGAATATTATCTGTAGACTTAATAAATCAGTTTCATTCGACATTACTTATTGATAGGCTAGATGCAGGTCACAGTAATGCCATAACTTTAATCGATGATATTAGAGATCGAAAATAGCGAGCCATTTTGCAGCGAAATGGCACACGTGGGGCTAAGTAATTGTACTTCAAATCAAGAATCAATTTTATATTCGCCTTTGGTTATGATAAGTAAATGTGTGTAATGGCAATGAGACCTACGTGAGGTTGCACGTACTGAATGCTAAGCAGTTTTATGCATGGAAAAGGAACCGTCCTCAGTTTTAAGGTATAGTACGTATTGCAGTTCAGTCCGATGCTTCATGGTCCTGTGGTAAAGGACTAGCCCCGTTTACAGGTTAAGACTTCCAGAATGGTCGAAATGTGGGCACTGTTTGCTAGGTCCGAGCTTAATAGTAAGAAATGGTGTCAGCTGTCCTGTTTGCTCCTGTATGATTTAAAGTAATCATACAGCATGTTTTCATGTACTTGACTTTTTCTGGTAAACAAACTTCTCGGTGTCTGGGGTGGATATAAAGAAACAGCAAAAATTTATTTTGTGCATAATGATGACGGTGCACTTGAATTATTAAGTGACTCTAGATCTTGATGTAGACATAACCTGTAATCACGGGTGCCAGTGATTCGCAATTCTTACGCTAGATGATTGATTTCATTGGATTATTCAAAGACACTGTTTAAAGCGCAGAGGACAGGTTGAAGTGGAGTTAATTTGCGTTTCGCAATAATTTCAGCTTTACTCGAAACTTAATCATGCTAATTTTAGAAATAAAAATGGAGGGACTACCGTCACACAAATGCTTTTATTTTTCCACTCACAAGATGTGCCATCATCGGATGGATTGTGAGATATCTATAAATGGTGACGTAAGTCCTATAAAACTACAATGCTCATCGAATTTTTGAAGTTTCTTACTTAAATTAGGTCGGATCCTACTTAATACCATATACTCCGTGGTTTTAGTCCGCAAGCGAACTATACTGACCGAGCGACCGCTGCTTGTCGGCGAAGTTAGTGCCAACTTTATTGGATAGAGGGTGTCGCGTGGTCAGCGCAACGGATTGCCACTGCCGTTAATCTCGGTTTTCTAGACCGGAGCCGCTATTTCTATATACCATATACACATTAGTTTTTTAAACTTATAAACATATGTGTTTGATATTTAAAGATTAAAAACAAAACCACGCAACTAAAGCTCACTATAAAAGGCGAGGGTGGGATTTTTAAGGAGGATAAGGAGATATTGACCAGAGAGATGAGAAATAAAGATAATCAATACGGCCTGTTGGCGAAATTCCTTATGGAGAGAAATGGACCAAAGGCAGTACATCAGCTATTCATAGATTCTAAGAAAGCCGGTGATTCAGTTAGCAGGGAAGTATTGCACAATATTTTGATAGAGTTCGGGGTACTCATGAAATTAGTTAGGCTAACGAAAAGTATAGTAAAGTCCGTATAGGTAAACATCTGTGTTATAATTTTCCTATCCAGAACGGTCTAAAACAGGGAGATGCTTTATCGCCACTCCTTTTCAACTTTACTTTAGAATATGCCATTAGAAAGGTCCAGGAAAATCAGGTAGGACTGAAATTAAACGGGACACATCAGCTGTTGGTCTATGCTAATGATGTGAATCTACTGGGTGATGATAACGTAAAGAAAAGCACGCAAGTATGATGCTTGTAATTAGGTTGGTCTGGAAATAAACACAGAGAAAACTAAGTATATGTTGCTGTCTCATCTCCAAAATTCAGGGCAAAATCATGACATAAAGATAGCTAACAGATACTTTGAAAATGTGGCACAGTTCAGATGTTTGGGAATGAGAGTAACGAATCAAAGCCTGGTTCAGGAGGAAATCAAGAGCAAATTGCCTTCTGCCATTCACTCTAGAAACTTTTGTCTTCTCGTCTGCTGTCAAAAAACATAAAAATTAGGATATACGTACAAAACTATAATTTTGCTGTGGCTCTGTATGAGTGTGAATCTTGGTCTCTGGCATTAAGGGAGGAACATAGACTGAGGGTGTTTGAGAACAGGGCCCTGAGGAGAATATTTGGACCGAAGAGAGATGAAGTGACAGGAGGTTGGAGAAAACTGCATAATGAGGAGCTTCATAACTTGTACTCTTCTCCAAGTATAATTAGATGATCAAGTCAAGGAGGGTGAGATGGACAGGGAATGTAGCACGAATGGGGAAGAAAAGGAATGCATATAGAATATTGGTGGGAAAGCCAGAAGGAAAGAGACCACTAGGAAGACCAAGATGTAGGTGGGTGGATAATATTGAAATAGATCTTAGAGAGCAGGATGGGATGGTATGGATTGGATTGATGTGGCTCAGGATAGGGACCAATGATGGGCTCTTGTGAACACGGTAGTGAACCTTCAGGTTCCATAAAATGTTGGGAAGTTCTGGAGTGGTTGCACAGTTGGCGGCTTCTCAAGAAGCGCTCAGCTCCACGAGTGAATGAATGGACCAAAGGGGCCATGATCCTTCGAGCCTTATTTTATATCTGACTGTTAACGCTATCGCGGATTGCTTAGAAAACCAATTCACCGCACATGATTTGTGTGACTGTGACCTTAACTGATAGTTGAATGCTGGCATCCGAGGCCTTCTGACTACCTATGATGAAAACTCACTGAAGAGAAAGTCCAACCCTGTGATGTAGTAAAGGAAAATATTTCGAAGTTAGGGAAGGTGTGTGACATTCCAAGTGAATGTCTCCGAAATATTCCGAGAACCTCTCTATCATGTGACGTATTTATTCAGTCGCTGTTTTCGGCTTTCTTAATTTCCGGCTGGAAGGAACCCACAGTTTCCTCACAGTCTTTTGTCCACGACGGGCAAACTCTTTGAGAAACTTATTGTAGAAATAGTCCAGAGACGCATGCAAGGAGATTTTCTAAACGCAATTCAGTTTGGTTTTCTTGCCCGTCACAGCACGATCGTATGTTGCTAATGGATCATTTAACGCTTAGCTTCAGCGATGACATATCGACGACTGTGATATTCCACTTCTTTATTAAAACCGTCACAACACAACTATATCGAGGTCAGTACCTAGTTTTGGCTCTTCTACATGTTTCGGCCATTAATAGCCATCATCAGGCAAATACATAGCTAACATATATACACCACTGAACTGCAGTACTAGTAAAATTGGATTCAATTGTATCCAACATGTAGCAGAGCCAAGACTAGGTTCTGACCCTGATATAGTTGTGTTGTGACGGTTTTAATAAAGAAGTTGTATATTATAACACAACAGGATGCATGAAATGAAAACGAAAAAGCCTTTGATACCACTTGGAATCTTAGTCTGATATATAAATTGTCCAGATTAGAATTTTCGACAGATCTAGTTAAGTTGCCTCTTTTCTAAGAAGTTACTATAGGATTCTGATGATGGTGTATAACACACTGATATATTGGGTTTTTGGACTTTATCCATCGTCCAGGACGATGGATAATCAATCACTGTCCAGTGATTGAGGCTAGCTCTTTCTAACGGACCCAACAGAATAGGTGTTTTCCTTCACCTGAGGACGGAAACAGATCCAGTTTCCGAAACGTCGTGTTTTTATTAGTTATCTTAAAAACCAGGACGATGGATAAAGTCCAAAAACCCGATATATCAGTGTCTCTTTTCTACCTGAAAGAAAATAAGTTTCGGTTGAACAGAAAGGGAACAGGGTGCTTTAAGGTTCAGTCCGTGCCCCAGCTCATGCCGCCCATTTCGCAGGTACGCGACAGAGAAGCCTAAACGTCGTTTCTTAGCAATTTGTATCGCGGCCTCCCTGCTGTGATGTCATAATATGAACGCTGGAATATGAAAGTTGGTGAAAGGAAGACTCATGTGATCCATTTCTCAAGAAGACTTGAGAGTCTCTGAGGACGAACACCCCGTTTATAAATAGTGTAAAATATGTTAACCTTATCTTCAGTGGGAAGATCATATGAAGAGTACATGTAGAGAGAACCGTCACTAAGGCCTTGGGTACTTACATAAGGAATTATTTCTTCTTCAAAAATGCGCGATTAACCAGGAATCCTCCTGGGGGCAAATGGCGGCCGGCGCGTAAGGCTGACAACCTCACTGCCATCTGCGAACCGATTGTCTAGAAAATGTGGCAGCCTCGACGTCTCACAACCCTGTGGTCGTCCATGGCCTGTTACAGCGATAGTTTTACCTCTTTATTTATGCCTGACTTTGGAGTTTGCAGGAGACGCTCATCAGGTGAAATTGCAGCGCCTGCAGAAGAGTTCTTCGTGCTGTTGGTTATTCTGGCAGGCTCACACTCGTCCGTGATACGCATATGGCATTCACAATTCCTCACATGT